CCTACAGGTTACACCTCAATAACTTCATTTCCTCCCACTTGGTCCCAACCTCCTAAAAGTTTCATTACCTTCCTTTATACCAATCTAATGGCGACCACACCTTTGAAGATACTTTGGGACTCTTTGGGAGATATTTAAGGTCCAAACCATCACCTATCAAGTCACTTGGACAGGGTTTTTTTTCTTAGGGAAGAAGATTAGAGTAGATGTTTATATATGAATTTTGTGCCTTTAGCTCCCATGTAACAGCAAAGCACCAGATTGGGAAGAAAGGCACTTACTCTCTTCTGTAGTACTCAGAACCATTCTGCCACCTTAAAAATTGGCAGTTTTGGAGGTAGTAGGACTTGGCTACTTTTTCAGGCCTATTGCTAGTCTCACAATGGACAATATTGGCATTCACCAGCCACCGGCCACAACATAAGGCCAAACCAAATAGTAGATAGATAGTGTAGATTTGCAGACGTAAATGAGTTATCCCTCAGAGACTCCAGAATTTGCAGACACGGAAAAGCAGAAGAAAGATTTTTGCAGGAAAATCCTTACTCTAGCAGAAGCAAGTTGGGGCAATTAAAAGAATCCTAGATTGCTACTGTTGTAGAACTTCCTTTGAATTTGCAAAGAGCAAGAGACCAAGAAATCAGATTACATAAGATAAGCATCTGGTCTTTGTGGCTAGTACTTAAGGGAACTGAAAATGATGGGGTCCACAGAGGTTAGAGCATAATTCTGAGAACAGAATGTGTTTGGCAACTGGAAGGATTTATTAAATTCCTGGCAACAAGTTTGAAATCTTCTCCACTATTATTAACACTCAACTTTTCTCTGCATCTCTACTTCCTTTTGTGTCTTGCAGTTTTGCACTTGATTTAATCTAAGTATCCTTAGAGTAAAATTGTTTTTTATCTCTCCCTGTAGGTCACCTCCAAAAAAGAGGATGATGGTAAAGCATTATTGCAAAATATGTCATTTGTATACTGATTTTTTTCAAGCTGAAATTACTTAAGGAAGCCATTGGCCTAACTTTCTCAACATTTAGATTTTTGGGGGAAGGGATACCTTCACATACCAACACTAGAAAATAGCCTTGATTACAAGAGACCCATAATTGAGCATGCAATGAACCTGAATAAACTCTTTGAATCCTTAATTTTCAGTACCTTCTAAATTCCTCCCATTAGATATCTGTAACATCTCTAGAATTACTATCATAACACCTATAGTTACCTATTTGTCTTGTCATTTCTTCAAAAATGTTTTATTCTTTGTCAAAAAAAGTATAACATCATTCTATTTTGGCCATTTCTCCAGACTTCATTCTTTCATGAAAATTCTCATGTGCTACATGTACAGATAGTAAAAATGTTCATGCTCTTCTCTTGTTAATCAGCTCTTATATTAATTGAGCTCCAGATCCAGAAGAAAAAAAATATATAACAACTAAGGGGTTTAAAGAGACCACCCCCCCCCCTCAGCCGGGCCCCAGTGGTTCATACTGTAATATTAGCTACTCAGGAAGCTAATATTATTCAAAGCCGGCCCAGGCAGGAAAGTCTGTGAGACTCTTATCTCAATAAAGCACCAGAAAGCTGGAAGTGGTGCTGTGGCTCAAGTGGTAGAGCACTCACCTTAAGCTGAAGAGCTGAGGGACAACACCCAGGCCCAGAGTTCAAGCCCTACAGCCAACAAAAAAACAAACACAAAACAAAACAAAAAACAATGCAGGTAAAATTAACATACAGCACTTAGACATGCTGAGCACCCTTGTGTGATTCATCATGTTGACTTGCACCTGTTTCAATGACAATGGAAGTATGTATTGAGATAGAGTCAGCACCAACCTAGGTCACTGAGTACCTGCATTAACCCCCACCTCCATTGCCCATAGACAGCTCATGTTGGACCTATAGCTTGAACAGAAAATGAATTTTTATTGATCCTTTGAAATTTGGAGGATCTTATCCCAATATAACCTCTTATGCTTACTAATGCAAGAGTTATAAGAATCCTTCATCTTGGCCCAATACTATTATAGAGTAAATAAAAGCTATCCCCAAAGGGAGTCCCAGAAAAAACAAAATGAGTGTGAGACACTGTGGAAGCAGAAATGAGGAAAGGACCAGAAGGTTCCATAAGAGTCACGAATGAAGGCCAGAGAATAATGCTCCTTACTGTTGGCCTAAAATATATTTATTTCTTTGAAAATGTGCAATATATTTATATCATAAAATACATCTGAATACTTACCAAAAAAACTTAATGAGATAAATAAGCTGATTCATTTAACTCACATTCAACATGAAACTAACATATAGCAAATTGTATTTTGTGGCAAATAAGATTATTGATAGTTCCATTAGGTAATGACTGTAGCATGAGCTAGCAGTTTATAACCCCTTCAGAGACTGTACAACACAGAGATGTAAATTCTTTTAAGCACAATTCTGCATAAATAGATTTTCTTCATTGCACCACCAAACTTGGATCTTGAAAGTGATAAACTGCAGATGCCTACAGTTGCAATCATAAAAATGTAATTGCTGAGAAAAAAATTATGTCTGATCCATTGAAGGAATTTATTACAGAGGGATGTAACTGTGTAAGTTATCACACAGAGAAAATGAAAGCAAATGATTGAAATATATCCCAGGATGAGCATCCCTGCAAAATGACCTAGTGATTTACCTGTGCTCAAGGGAAAAAAAATAGATTAAAGATAAATCAGTTTTGGTAAAGGAAGACTTCGGTAACTATAAAAAGAGCAGAATAAAGATTTATGAAAATTAATTTAGAAGTTGAAATGACATAATAATATTTATAACCAATTACTCCAAAAATTAAAAATGTAATTTTGACTTTGAATTATATACAGAGGTGATAAATAATTTCTGTAGAATATTGAAAGCAAAAGAATATAACATAAAGATACGTAATGAGGAAAGGGGAAAATATTTTTAATGTAGCTATTGAAATAACTTCATCTTTTGGTAGTGTCAACTTCAAGATCGTGAACTCCTGTTCAATTTTTTCCAATGTAATCAGAGACTATCATATGTTTAAAATAAACCATACTTACTCAAATACAGCCAACCAACACAATCATGTAAGAAACTGACAATTTATTAATAAATAAAATGTGACATATACATAAATATCATGTATTGTCATTTTAGAAAAAATGAAATATGGCCATTTGCCAACATTAACAGACCTGGACACATTATATCACAGCTAGACAAAATTACCAAGACCCTATCTCAAGAACAGAGATTGCAAATGAAAGTATTAGGGTATGGCTAAAGTGATAGAACACTCACCTAGTATGCCTGAGACCTTTGGTTAAATCTGGTATGGAGACTGAACTATCATCAGTGAGGCACATTTTTAATTGTCTTCCCTGAACATGTGTTAACTGAAAATGTGTACAAAAGTTGCTCTTATAGCTACTTCCTTTTCTGCCATCCATCTCACAGAAAAGGTAAGTAGAACTTTTTATGTAATCAGAGATAAGGTCAGTGTAGTTTCTTACCCAAAAAAAAAAAACCTTGAATACTCTGAGTCCTTAGGAAAAAGGACATTGGAGGCATGATACGATGTAGGCCCAAAGAGTAATTCTCTAACAAATTTTGATAAAATTTTAAATCTATACCATTTGCATATGTTTTTTGAAATTCTGCTTGAAAATACAATACATAAAATCTGGATTAAAATGATAAATCATTATGAATATTATCAAATGACTATTCATTTTATGAGATTTTTATCAGAGAATTCCATTAGCTGCTTGTATCATACATTTTTTGGGGGGTGGGGGGCCCGGTCGTGGGCCTGAACTCTGGGCTGGGCGCTTTCCCTCAGCTCTTCAGCTCAAGGCTAGCACTCTACCACTTGAGCCACAGCGCCACTTCTGGCTTTTTTTTTTCAGCTTATGTGGTGCTGAGGAATTGAACCCAGGGCCTCATACATGCAAGGCAAACGCTCTACCACTGAGCCACCTTCCCAGCCCACATTTTGGTATTTTAACAATAATTTCCTATGTAACAAATGAGCTATTGGGTCTCTGGAGGCAAGTCACTGACATTCTTTATTTAATAAAGATTTTTTTGGCCAAGTATGATCATTCACACATATAATTCTATCACTTGAAAGGCTACAGGCAAGAAAATAGAGAGTTCAAGGCCAGTATCAGCTACATAGCAAGTTCTAGGCCAGCCTAGATTATACACTAGATTGTTTAAAAAATACAAAAATAAGGAAGTAGCGCTGTGGCTCAAGTGATAGAGGGCTAGCCTTGAGCTGAAGAGCTGAGGGACAGCACCCAGGCCCAGAGGTCAAGCCCCTTGGCTGGGAAGGTGGCTCAGCGGTAGAGTGCTTGCCTCGCATGCATGAAGCCCTGGGTTCGATTCCTCAGAACCATATAAGCAGAAAAAGCTGGGTTTGGCACTGTGGTTCAAGTGGTAGAGCCCTAGCCTTGAGCTGAAGAGCTGAGGGACAGAACCCAGGCCAAGAGTTCAGGCCCCATCACTGGCAAAAAAAAAAAAAACTTTGATTCAAGCCCCTCGACTGACACACACAAAAAAATACAAAAACAAACAAAAAACTGTTTTAACCAAGTCATCTACATCACACAGATTTCATAAATATCAAATAAGATAATTTATATAAAATTACTTCAGAAAAATATATATAGCTGAGCGTGGTAATATACACCTGTAATTCTAGTACTTGGGAGAATGAAGCAGGAGGATTAGCAAAGCTTTCTCAAAAAATTATATATACATATTAATTCTGCTATTAATGTTAAAGAAAATCTAGGAGAAGACATCCAGATTTTATTACTATCACTAAATTCATACATTTTACATTTTAACACCAATTTAAATAAATGACAATTTCAGAAGATATAAAAATCAAATCTTCCCTTGGCTTGTTAGCTTTTGCATTTTTTAATTTTGTTAAAAAACAGTTGCTCCACTCTGTAAATTTCATGGTATTAATACCTGGATTATGAGAGGCTCCAGTAGTTTCTCTACAGTGAATGTTTGGATCTGCAGATCCTCAGGGTCAATAGTCAGCGTGAAAGGTGTTTCCGCAGACATGCTGCTGCCTACACACAAACACATGAAATCAGTAAAGAAAAGTCTTTCTGAAGAAGAGTACTCATATAAATCATGGAGTAGCTAAAAACTGTGTTTGGCACCGCTTCCTGATCTCATAGCCCCAAAGGATCAGAGTGCCCTATCCATCATCTGAGACTCAAGACATTCCCTAACTGCCCCCTGTGGTCATGCTGTCAGTGCTTAGGAGACACTAGCAAATTTGTAACTAAGTTAAAAAAAATCATCAATTAGGTTTGCATTTGATCAGTAATCATAGCAGAAAGGAACTGATTAGATATTTCTTACAGCATGCAAGTCTGTTTTTTGTCTTGGGTTGCTTTGTTTTGAGCAATGTGGGGCTTGAATTCAGGGCCTGGACACTGTCCTTGAGCTCTTTTGCTCACAGTTAGTGCTCTACTACTTTGAGCCACAGATCCACTTCTAGTTTCCTGGTGGTTAATTGGAGATAACAAAATCATGGACTTTCCTGCCCAGGCTGGCTTTGAACTGCAATCCTCAGATCTCAGCCTCCTGAGTAGCTAGGATTACAGGCGTGAGCCACCAGTGCCAGGATCATGAAAAGTCTTTTGATTTCCATAAAATCATAACACTGAAATAGCTTACCTGAATATTTTGCCTGTTTTTATTAATGATGACTAAAATGAAAAGCCAGGTAGGACTTTGGAAGACATGTATGATATCTCCACTTGCTTTGGAAGTGGTTTATCTGATGGGTTTGATTATAGAAAAAAGAGTTAGGGGATAGTTACATTCTTTTTTTTTAATTTACATTCTTATATAGCAAAGAAACTAATGTGATCTGTATAGTTATCATGAAAAGAAAGGAGAAGCCCCTAAGAAGGCCTAGTTCATAAAATCAGCACCTCTTTGCTCTTCTACCTCTCCAACTCTCTCTATTGGGTCCTTCCCTTAGATCCAAAGATGAGCTACTGTGAACATTCAAAGGTAGTCATGATCTCTGTTGCATCCATACACAAATGAAAAAAAAAACTGTTTAATTAAGACCTTTCTGAACAGTGCATCTGATGCACATGCACAGAGAAAAAAAGAGGCAAGAATTAAAAAAAAATTCTCCTTGCCTCTTATCCCTCTGTACTATGATTCTTGCATTAATAATTTGTTTAAACAAAATTTAGAGGAAAACACTGTACAGACCAGAAATCTTACTGCTCTTCAGATAGTATGATTTTAATACAAAATGAACATGCAAAATATTCCTGGGATTAATAGGAACCTTCCAAATGCTGTCCCAAGTGGCTGAACATTGTAATTGCACATAATCAAAATAGCAAATTTCAAATGTATTTATAATCTAATAGACACATAATATTTCTTTCATGTCTCTTCAGCAAAATTTAATATTAAAACAAAGATAATTATACTGCAAGTCCAGGGACCAATTATGACAAATTTAATAATTTATCAAAGCATATGATTATAATTATATTCCAGGCTTTCTATAGTATTAAAGATATTAATGCATGCTACTATTGCTCCACTAAGATCAAGTATATTAATGCATGCTAATACTTCGGATATAGTATTAAAATATTTCCTAGTCAACATTAGAAGTTATGATAAGCAATTTGAAGTGGAGCGCAAAAGGACAATTTATGTCTTGAGTGTCCTGGGGTTTTTGCCATGTTTTTATATAGCTGTATTATGTACTATTCGTCCACTGAAAACTAGAGTAAACGTTGATGGTTTTACATAAAAGCAACCAGTACTTTTTATTGCAGAAATGAGAGTACATTTTCTGAAATGTAGCATACTTCCAGATAGTTCTTTTATTGAACATAACCCAAATCAGCTTGCCCCATTAGGTAATCAAGCACATGTTTGTTCTCTATGCTTAACTCTATCACACATCACAAAACATGCCTACTATTCTTTTGCTTTGTGTGGAGGGGTGTGGGGGGAAGGGGTGTAGGTATGGGTTCTAGAGCTTGAACTCAGAGCCTGGGTGCTGTCCCTGAGCTCCTTTTGCTCAAGGCTAGCATTCTACCACTTGAGCCACAGCACCACTTCTGGCTTTCTTGGTAGTTTAGTGGAGATAAGAGTCTCACAGACTTTCCTGCCCAGGCAGGCTTCAAACCATAATCTTCAGATCTCAGCCTCCTGAGTAGCTAGAATTACAAGCATGAACCACCAGTGCTGGGCTTATTCTTTCACTTTTAAAAAGCAATTTTGCCCTAAGGACAATTATTTGCATTGTACTAAGTGAAAAAAAATTGACTTTCAGGAGGAGGCAACAATGCTTGATAAGAAATGTACTCATTATCTTGCCCATGTAATTGTAAACCCTCTGCACAGTATTTTCACAATAATAAAAGAAGAAAAAAATTGACTTTCAAAAGTATGAATTATTATTATATGTTATATAAATATATAAAGTCACAAAACCCTACAATATGGCCCTTGCTTCTCTTGCCTTTTTAGTGGTTTTATTTTCTTTCTCAATGCAGAAATGTAGACTGTTTTTCAGCTCCTCAGCTGAAATATAGGAGAGTTGCTTCAAGAAAGGCGCCAGACACTATTACCAAATGTCTTCTCTCAAATACAGCTCAGGATTGAAATGTTCTGGTATGACTTGCTTTTTGTTTTGGTTTGGTTTTCAATCATTCCACCTACCACAGTTATTCCTTCTATCACAGACAAATCTAAATTGACAGGTATCTTCTTGGTGACTTTAATGCATAGCCCAAAGCCAATCTATGCAATAAAGATATGTCTTTCAGTGTATAACCTTAGGGTTCTATCAAGTGAGTGATCACACAGGGACTTACTTGTTAACCTGCTGATGACAGGTACTGTCCGACATAAAAATCAAGACTGCTGACATTGCTTTGTTCTCTTACCTCAGGGGCAAAAGTAGAGGACATTGTTATAAACTAAAATGGGATATAAGTGAATCTCCAGTCTTCAAAAACATGTCCTTTCACTGTAGATTCCACAATGAGCTTCCAAAAACCACATTAAGCACCAAAAATTAGAAGTAAGAGAAAAAATTAAGGAAAATAAACATTACTTCCTAGAAGAATGCTCTTCAGTCAAGAGGTAAAACATAAGCCAAATTTAACCAAAGTACCTGGTAAGCCTGTGTTTATGTCTTTAACTTCACACTAAGTAGAGAAAGTTGCTCAGAAGTTCATTTTTCCATAGTAAAAATAATAAAATAGTAAACCAACAATTCCTTGAAGAACCCTGATTAGCCATAATTACTATTCCTTGAATAAATCCTATTGCTTATAAAGATCTTTCTGTTCTTTTTGTACTTTTCCTGTTCAGTAATCCTGATTGTTTGGAGATGAGGGCAATAAGAGGCATAGAACTGTAGAACTTTGCAAAGGAAGTTGAAGCAAAGGCAAAGTCTGACAAAGTGTTGCCAACCTCTTAAAGCAATATCACATAAATCTAAAACAAAAATGCTATCAGGTTGTAGGTGTCATAGAATATATTACATGTTATGAGTTGTAAAATCTTAAGAGCTAAGAAGTACTTCCCAAACATTCAGGAATATCTTCTATAATCTGAGGTTTGCAGTCAGCTCAGGAAGGAAAGTCTTTGAGACTCTGACCTCTGAATAATCACCAAAAAAAATGGCAGTGAAAGTATGGCTCAACTTGTGGAGCACAGCATTGACCATGAATTCAAGCCCCAGGACAGACACAAAAAAATTTAAAAAGAAAAGAATAAATCTACTTTACCATTATATGCTATGTGCTAGCGATTTCTTTTGTTTTGTGTTTTTTTTGTTTTTTGTTTGTTTTTTTTTTCTTTTTTGCCAGTCCTAGGGCTTGAACTCAGGGCCTGGGCACTGTTCCTGAGCTTCTTTTGCTCAAGACTAGCACTCTACCTACCACTTGAGCCACAGCACCCAGATTTTTCTGTTTATGTGGTACTAAGGAATCAAAGCTGGGTTTTCATGCATAGTAGGTGAGCACTCTACCACTAATCCACATTCTCAACCTAGTGATTTCTTTTGTAAGATTTTTCCTTAGGTTGATTCAAATCTTCCACTTTTTTAGTGCCTATCAAATAGAGATGGTTTTAAAAAGTAGGATAAGTACTGGTCTAGAAATAGACAAACTAGGATACAATTCTAGTTTTCAGAACCTAAAGAACTATAGTAATAGTCAATAGTATCTTGAGATAGGGCAAACTCCATCATGTAGATTCTTTCCTTCTCCCCAAACTATTTCCATGACGCCTAAATTTTCACTTTATCCCTGACTTGAAATTAAACTTAAATCAATTTAAAATGAATTTGGTGTAACATACATTTTATTTTTAAATGCTGTTCACTATGAAAGGTCATGAAGGACACTCATTTGTCATCCATTAGTATGAACTAGTGTACACTCTGTACCTAGTGTTGGATGCATGTCTCTATCACAGCACGCACCACATCGTACCTTAGTCGTGCCCTGGCAGCAAAAGAAAGTGATGTTAGATCACAGAGCTGTGCAGATAGGCCAGTGGAAAATGTTACACACTTCCAAAATAAAACTTCAACTATGAGGCTGGCATGTGGCTCAATGGTAGAGGAATTAGCCAGCATGCTTGAGGCTCTGTGTTTGATCTCCACCACTGCACAGAGAAAAGGGAAATAAAGAAGAAAAAAAAGGAGAGGGAAGAAGTGAGGAGGAAGGAGGGAATGAGAGAGGGAGGAAGGAAGGGAGGGAGGGGGGAAAGAGGAAGGGAGGGAGGGAAGGGAGAGGGAGGAAAGAAGGAAGGAAAGGAAGAAATTCCACTACAATCTCAATACACATTTGTTTTCCAAACACACCTCTATTTCCATCCCTACCTTCCTGCTTCCAATGTAATCATTTGTTGGCTTATTTAGCCTGTCATGAAAAAAAAAACACATCTTCTTACTTGTCAGAGAATCGATAAAATCATGCAATTGCCTGATATTGTATGTGATGAAGGAATAGTTGAGCTTCATTCTTTTCAAATGTTCATCTTACCCTTTACAAATGC